GGTAAGCACTCTCTTCCCTAGTGTGTCTTCCTACCTCTATTTCCAGGGGTCCTAGTGGTGCAGTGGGTTAAGCATTGGACCACTACCAGGTCATTGGTTCCCAGCCCCTGTCTTTTGTTGGAGAAAGAGGTGGCAGACTGTCGTGAGTATTCTTGTGGATAGTTGGCGTCTCGGAAACCTGTGGAGCAGTTGTCTTCTGCACGGTCAGGTCACTATAGGTTAGAATCGACTCGACGGGGTGTGTGCGGGGTATCTGTTGGTAAGCAATATCTAAAATGGTCTCGCGTGCTTTTATAGCAGTTCGAAAGCCACAGTTGCTCTGTGGGAGAAGAATGAGGCTTTCTACCCTTGAAAAAGAGTTACAATCTTGGAAACCCAAAAGGGCAGATCCATGCTGTGCAGTGAGTCAAGTATAGTATGTGCCTGCTTTTTAATGTCCCCCCAAACGACTTACTGCGTGTGTCTGGCACTTTGTTGGAGAGAGCATTGGTGTCTGTGTAGCGAGTGTAACCACACGGGGCTAATTCACTGCTTTCCTCCTTCGTTAGCATCTCCAGACGGTGCTGGCCTCGTGCATTTTAAGGCTCATTGAGGAGGGTCTGGCAGCCTGTACCGGGCACTAAATGTCACAAGGCTGACCAGATGTGACTTACAGTTTGGATTCGGACAGACCCCTCGACTAATAGGTTTGAGGGCAGAATACACATGTTACATACTAGTGTTTACAATATTGCCAGACCGCAAAGGAGTGTGGGTGTGGGGAAGTGGGAAGTGACCTAAACATCCTAACAGTTTGGACCATCATCCCTCACTTCTATCTTGGTCCTTAGTGAGCTGTGGAAACTGTCAGATCTTGGGTCACCTAACAGGAGTGGGAGTGGTATACACATACACACACACATACATACACACCATTCCATACTTATAAAAGGCAGCAACTCACACACACCATTCCATACTTACAAAAGGCAGCAAGCATTTAACAATAAATTGCCAACTTGAAACCCACTATCCTCAAATATTCCGGTCTGTGTTTCTCAAAGAGGGCATCTCCTATCTGACCACACAGAACAACAACCGTCATAGTCAGCAAAGTCCCAGTAGCACAGCCGCCACCCC